CAGAGGAAGTGGAAAGTCAAGCCTCTGGGATCAATCTCCTGGTCTCCCTGTTTAAACGCAAGCGTGTTGTCGCCTCATCTTTGCAGAAAGCCTCAAAGATTAAAAAGAATAGGCTCGGCGGCGTGGCCCAGTGGCTAAGGTCCTCGCCTTGAACACACTGGGATCCCATATGGGCACCGGTTCTAATCCCGGCAGCTCCACTTCCCATCCAGCTCCCTGCCTGTGGCCTGGGAAAGCAGTTGAAGATGGCCCAAAGCTTTGGGACCCGTGTGGGAGACCCAGAAGAAGTTCCTGGATCCTGGCTTTGGATCGGCATAGCATCGGCCGTTGCACTCACTTGGGGAGTGAATCATCGGACGGAAGATCTTCCTCTCTGTCTCTCCTCCTCTCTGTATATCTGACTTTCCAATAAATAAATAAATCTTAAAAAAAAATTAAAAAGAACAAACCAGGACCCCCCTCCCCCATAAAAAGCACCCTAGAAAGACAGACCATGCAGGAAAAACAAAAGAAGCCGGCAAAAAAAACAAAAAATGCTAACCTCTAGGACATCGGAGATCGCAGCATGACCAGTGAAGCAGCAGCAACAGCAGCAATAGAACTGCAAAGTAGCCCTGCCAGGAAGGTGTTCCACCAAGCCAGGGAGAGGAGCAGGTCATGGAAGGACAGGCTTGTCCAGGGCCAGCACGATGGCTTAGCACACTGATTCTTCGCCTATAGCACTGGCATCCCCTATGACTGCCAGTTCAAACCTCACTTGCTCCACTGCTGATCCAACTCCCAAGGCCTGGGAAAGCACCAAAAGATGGCCCACATGGGAAACGAGGAGGAAGTTCCTAGCCTCTGGCTTTGGATCCGCTTAGCTCTGGTCATTATGGCTATTTGAGGAGTGAATCAGTGGATGAGGATTCTGTTTCTCTTTCTCTCTGTAAATCTACCTACCAGATTAAAAAAAAAAAAAAAACACCACATATCTTAAAATTGAAGACAAGAAGAGGGACACTGCGCAGGCCCAGGCCTCTGGGTGAGGCTGAGCAGACCGGCCGGATGCTCTCTGCACACTCACTGGAGCAGCAGGTCCTGGAGCTGTGCTGTCTGTCACGTCTGGCGTTGATGGAGCCCCATGTCAGGTGGGACAGAAAGAACAAGCCGGAGCCCTGGGACAAGCCGGTCCCGGTGAGGGCTATGGCTGAGAGAAGGTGCAGACGGCTTCGTGAACCGCCTTGCAGAAGCCGTCCGCACACTTCCATTTAGCCAGGAAATACTTGTCCTCTAGACACACACAATCATGTAGATTTACTGGAATTTATTATACTAACTAATAAATATGTGAAACTTGAAAAGAAGAAAGACAAGCTTATTTTGGGCACAAAAAATTTAAAATCCACACACGGTTTTTTCACAATGAGCATTTTTCTGTAAACACTGTGAAACTCCTCACATTAAAACCACAGTGAGAAAAATGAAAACTAGAACGACAAATGCTAACCCAAAGCTAAGGACGTCGGAGGAAGCAGACAAGAACAGAAAGAAAAGAGAGCGTGGAGAAGCAGCCCGTGCTCTCCATCGGAACCCAGGCGCTCCGAGGGGAGGCAGCGAACACAGGAGTCCAACAGAAGATAGTAATGATAGAAAGCTGGACGTGAGAGCTTCCTGGGGCCAGCGCTGTGGCTCCACAGGCTAATCCTCCACCTTCAAGTGCCGACATCCCCTATACGTGTCAGTTTCCTGTGTCCTGGCTGGGGTGCTCCCTTTTTGATCTAGCTCCCTGGGAAAGCAGTGGAGGATGGCTAAATTCCTCGGGTCCCTACATCACAGGGGAGACTCACAAGAGGACATGGCTTTGAACCTGCTCAGCTCTGGCTGCCGCGGCCACTTGGGGAGTGAACCAGCACATGGAAGATATTTCTGTCTTTCCTTCTCTCTGTAAATCTGCCTTTCAGTAAAAATAAATAAAAACTTTAAAATGTATATATATACAAAGAGTTCCTAGGTTAAACAATGAGAATATAAACACACACCAAGTCACAGAGCCAGGAAATTTCACTCTCAGGACAACAAAGAGAACATTCCACCAACTTTCACAGAGGACCAATCAATAAAAAGCAGACTTAGGGCCTCTCTGGACTGCCTGAGCAACACTGGAGCCAAGCGGCAGAGAAAACCAGGGAGAGACCGACTCCCAGAGGACAGCAGCGGGCGGCTAGCTGCATCCTTTCTCAAGGAGCTGCCAAAGCACGTATTCTACCCACATGGCAGGACTGTGGTGAGGGCAAGCCACGCGCACAGCTGCCTGCGGGGCACAGGCGACAAGCAGCCAGCACACGGGCATGCTGCAGGCCAGCACCAAGGGGCCCGCTGGCCTGTACTGTCACTGAGGGACACAGCAGGCGGCCTGGCCTGAATGCCCGCGCGCCTGGCTTCTCTCCTGTCAGCCTCCACGCCCCTTCCTCTGCCGAAGCGGCCGAGCACACTCCTCTCACCTGACAGCAAGATTCTGCTCTGGCCGGCCAGGAGCCAACCGACGGCCTCCGCCTGCCGCGGCCTGCAGCACCCGCAGCCCCGGGCCTTACTGGAAGGTCTCATGAGGGCTGACCTCACATCTCTCAGGACTCCCGTGTGCCTGGACACGGTCTCCCCGGGAGGGAACACCTGCCCTCAACAGCATGTGCCAGACGCAGACTCACACTCCGCTCCTCTCAGCTCTTGGCAATCTCCATCTAATGGTGACCAGACTAACTCTTCCTCAGCCAGGCTCGGCTTCCTCAACAGAGTTTCAAACCAAAATTACACATGTGCTAAAACTGCAAGGAGAGCCAGGAGACTGAGTACCACCAAAGCAGCAGCAGCAGCAGTTGAAGTGAAGAAAGGGGACCCAGAGGGAGGCGTGATTGGTGACAATATTCTGTATTTCATTTACTTATTTGCAAAACAAAGCGAGAGAGAGAGAGAGACTATAAAGACAGATCTTCCATATGCTGGCACGTTCCCCAAGTGGCTGTGGTAGCCAGGCCCGGGCCAGGCCATGCTCCCCCACACGGCTGGCAGTGGCAGAAGGGTGTGAGGGTGGCCATCACCTGCTGACCCCACGAACACGTGAGCAGGAAGCTGGGTCAGAAGCAAAGCACCCAAAGCGGTGGCCTAACCAGCTGAGCCACCAAGCTGGCCCCACGTCCTGTGTCAAGCTGGGTGGCAGCTCCATGTGCTCACGCGCCTGCCAAAGCTCACACGTACACTTCTTACACTTCTTCACAGACATCTCACACAGCTGCTGCGTGCCGACCGGGGCGTGAGCGGGGGTGACCACGTGGGCCAACCGGGGCCGTGAGCGGGGGTGACCGCGTGGGCCGACCGGGGCCGTGAGCGGGGGTGACCGCGTGGGCCGACCGGGGCCGTGAGCGGGGGTGACCGCGTGGGCCGACCGGGGCCGTGGGCAGGGGGTGACCGATGCGGGCCGACCGGGGCCGTGGGCAGGGGGTGACCGATGCGGGCCGACCGGGGCCGTGGGCGGGGGTGACCGATGCGGGCCGACCAGGGCCGTGGGCAGGGGGTGACCAATGCGTGCCGACCGGGGCGTGAGCGGGGGTGACCGCGTGGGCCAACCGGGGCCGTGAGCGGGGGTGACCGATGCGGGCCGACCGGGGCCGTGAGCGGGGGTGACCGCGTGGACCAACCGGGGCCGTGAGCGGGGGTGACCGATGCGGGCCGACCGGGGCCGTGAGCGGGGGTGACCAATGCGTGCCGACCGGGGCGTGAGCGGGGGTGACCGCGTGGGTCGACCGGGGCCGTGAGCGGGGGTGACCGCGTGGGCCAACCGGGGCCGTGAGCGGGGGTGACCGATGCGGGCCAACTGGGGCCGTGGGCAGGGGGTGACCAATGCGTGCCGACCGGGGCGTGAGCGGGGGTGACCGCGTGGGCCGACCGGGGCCGTGAGCGGGGGTGACCGATGCGGGCTGACCGGGGCCGTAAGCGGGGGTGACCGCGTGGGCCGACCGGAGCCGTGGGCGGGGGGTGACCGCCGTGGGCCGACCAGGGCCGTGGGCAGGGGGTGACCAATGCGGGCCGACTGGGGCCGTGAGCGGGAGGGGGGGGGGTGACCGATGCGTGCCGACCAGGGCCGTGAGCAGCGGGGGTGACCGCCATGGGCCAACCAGGGGCCATGAGCTGGGGTGACCGCCGTGGGCCGACCGGGGCCGTGAGCAGCGGGGGTGACCGCCATGGGCCGACCAGGGCCGTGAGCTGGGGTGGGTAAGGGGCTTGTGGAAATGGGATATTCACTATCCAGAGACGAGTTAAATGGCTGCTTTTTTCAAGGGAGACTCCCAAATGTCTAGCTGAACATGGGGGTCTGTTTTCCCCAAAGGCCTAAAGCCTTAACTGGACAGCGTAAGCCTGGCTGCCTCCCAGAGAAAGGGAAGGAAGCCTTGGGCTCTTCTTGGCCCCGTCTGTGCAGTTCCTCGACTTCCCTTGTTGCCCAGCCTCCTCTCAGTTCCACTCTTCACTAGGTCTGGGACCTCAACCAGAAAGCCAGGCAGGGAATGAACCTGGCACCTTGTGTAGGTGCTCAGATGGGTGCCAGCCACCCACTCAGCTGTGCCGGGCAGAGGGAGGGATCTGAAGCCTTAGCTCACAGTAAGCCCGACGTGCTGCCACGTGCTCGTTTGCAGCCACACGCTCCCCTGCTGTCTCCCCGGTCACTGTCCCCACCAGGTGTGAGTCTGTCTCGGCTAGGGGACTACACACTGCTGCATGAATGCGGGTTCTCAGTGCGTTTCGAGGAGGCTGACTCGGTAGGGGACCGCACACTGCTGTGTGAGTGGCTGGCTCTCTGAGGATTGCGTTTTAGACTCACACCAGGTTCCAGCTGTCCTTTCAAACAGAAGGCTCACTAAAAGAACACCTGCTTTCCCAAGTACTGTCCCCACAGGGACACCTCCCAGATCATGTGCTCAATCTCTCAACAGATTCTTGAAACTCAGGGGACGGGACGGTTTCTGTACCTTAGAGGGTCCAGTTCATGGTCCTTGGATCCAGTCACCAACTCCGGATGAATTCGCACATGCTCCATCATTGGCTAGAGGAGTTGAGGTTGACAGTTACTAAGGGATGCACTTCTGAGCATGTCCACACAATGGGATACCAACAGTAAGAAAGAGGAGAACATTGCTACTGTTGCAGCAGGGATGAGCCCTAACAGGTGGTGTGCATTCAGAGTTGGTCACAAAAGGCCACGTGACCCGACCTCACTGACACAACTGTCTGGAACAGGCAACCCTGCATGGCACAGCACACAACGAGGCTGCCGGGAGGGGGAGGTGGAGGCTGACTTGCCTTGCAACATGTAGGCAAGGTTACAGCACAGCATATCTCAACAGTGCATGACTAAGAGTCTTCACTTACCCTCACCACTTCTTCAAAAGTCTCCAAGTTTTCCTTCATACTATAGTGAGAGCGCAGAAAGGAGACGAAGTTGCAGGGGTACATTCCGTAGAGGCGATGGAAGAGGGCGTAAACGCTGGCATGGAGGTGGACCAGGTAGATCTCCGTCACGTGGCCTACAAGAGCAAACCGCAAAGAGAAGCCACTCAGACAGGCATGTGGCAGCCAGGAGCACATGGCTGTCCTGGTTAGCCATGCGTGCACTCTCAGTCAGGCACACAGCAGCCAGGAACGCACAGCTGTCCTGGTTAGCCATGCGTGCACGCTCAGTCAGGCACACAGCAGCCAGGAGCGCACGGCTGTCCTGGTTAGCCATGCATGCACGCTCAGTCAGGCACACAGCAGCCAGGAGCACATGGCTGTCCTGGTTAGCCATGCATGCATGCCCAGTCAGGCATGTGGCAGCCAGGAGCGCACGGCTGTCCTGGTTAGCCATGCATGCATGCTCAGTCAGGCACACAGCAGCCAGGAGCACATGGCTGTGCTGGTTAGCCATGCGTGCACGCTCAGTCAGGCATGTGGCAGTCAGTAGCACATGGCTGTCCTGGTTAGCCATGCGTGCACGCTCAGTCAGGCAAGTGGCAGTCAGGAGCGCACGGCTGTCCTGGTTAGCCATGCGTGCACGCTCAGTCAGGCATGTGGCAGCCAGGAGCGCACGGCTGTCCTGGTTAGCCATGCATGCACGCTCAGTCAGGCATGTGGCAGTCAGGAGCACATGGCTGTCCTGGTTAGCCATGCGTGCACGCTCAGTCAGGCACACAGCAGCCAGGAGCACATGGCTGTCCTGGTTAGCCATGCATGCATGCTCAGTCAGGCACACAGCAGCCAGGAGCACACTGCTGTCCTGGTTAGCCATGCGTGCACGCTCAGTCAGGCACACAGCAGCCAGGAGCACATGGCTGTCCTGGTTAGCCATGCGTGCACGCTCAGTCAGGCACACAGCAGCCAGGAGCACATGGCTGTGCTGGTTAGCCATGCATGCATGCTCAGTCAGGCACACAGCAGCCAGGAGCACATGGCTGTCCTGGTTAGCCATATACACACTCAGCCAGGAGCGCACGGCTGTCCTCCTGTTTCCACATGCACACACTCAGATGGCAAGTCAGAGCTGTTTTCTAAGACACAAAACTAAACACATCAGAGACCCCTACATAAAAATCTTTCCAACTCCACCAACTCCCAGTTATTTGGTGGGACCCATCGAGGCACTTGCTCATCTCACCTCTGCCCTCCCTCCGTCGTCCCCAGAAATCCTCACACTACTGAAGCGCCTTGGTAGTAATGGTCATTCTTCCTCTATGTGTAATTATGCTCCCCCATGGAGCGAGTCAGCATGTGTTTCCTGAGGAAAGGACCGTGTTACCCACTACACTGTCCTCTGAGTCCTGCACTGCACTTGGTATATAGAGCATGTAGATGCAACTATGCGTATTTATAACTATATAGTAAAGAAACTGAACCAGACATTAGCTTAGAAAGTTAAGAGTGGAAGAAATTGGAAATTCTGTTTCCCCAGCCCTGCTTGGACACCACAGAAACCCCATGTCTACGGCACAAAAGCTCCTCCACACAGGGACAGCTTAACCTTTTCTCTCGAGGGACAGCCTGCTGACCTCACTGCATCAGATGGGCCTGTGTGAGGGCCACACTGTGGCACAGTGGCTCAAGCCACTGCTTGCAGCAGCAGCACCCCAAATGCCAGCACTGGTTCAAGTCCTGGCTGCTTTGATCAGTTTCTTGAGAATGCTCTCGGGAAGCAGGCAGAGGAACAGCCAACTCCCTGGGACTCTGGCACCCACGTGGGAGACCCTGACGGCACTTCTGCCTCCCAGGCCAGCCTGGTCCAGACCCAGTTTTCTGGCTGCTTGGGGAGGAAGCCAGTGCTCTCTCTGCCTTTCAAAGCTTTAAAAAGGAGGGCCTGTGCTTGTTATTTCATCCTGACAGAAAGCCACAGGTCTTTCACAGTCCACCCCTTTGACAGGACTGTCTCACACTGTTGATCCTGCCAATCCAGGAACATGGTAAGTTTCTCCACTTTTCAGTATCTTCTTCTATTTCCTTTTTAAATGTTTTACAGTTTTCATCATAGAGGTCTTCCACATATTTTGTTAGCTTAATTCCTAGGTATTTAAGACTCCTCTCTGTTATTTTAAAGGGGCCTGTACTTGGAATTTCTTTCTCAGCCATGGGATTATTTGCGTACACTAGCGCCATTGATTTGTGTTAATTTGTATCCTGTACCCTGCCAAAGTCTCTCCTGAGTCCCAGTCGTCACATGATCAGTTTTTTCGGTTCTTCTATGTAGAGAATCATGTCATCTGCAAATAGCAATACTTTCACTCCCTTGTTTCCAATTTGGCTTCCTTTACTTCCTTTTTCTTGCGTAATAGCTCTGACAAGGACTTCCGATACTATATTGAAGAGTGGTGACAGTGGACATCACTGTCTAGCTCATTTTTTTTGTAAGATTTATTCATTTTTATTGGAAAGGCAGATATACAGAGAGGAGGAGAAACAGAGAAAGATCTTCTGCCCAAATATTCACTCCCCAAGTGACCACAATGGTTGGAGTTATGTCGATCTGAAGCCAGGAGCCAGGAACTTCTTCTGGGTCTCCCACACAGGTACGGGGTCCCAAAGCTTTGGGCCGTTCTCAACTGCTTTCCCAGGCCACAGGCAGGGAGCTGGATGGGAAGTGGAGCAGCCAGGATCCCAGCGTGTTCAAGGCAAGGACTTTAGCTGCTAGGCCACCGCGCCAGGCCCTAGTTCTAAATTTTAGTGGAAAGGCTTCTAATGTTTCCCCATTTAGTATGATGCTGCCATTGGGTTTTTCGTAAATTGCTTTGATTGTGTTGTAGAATGTTCCTTCTATGTCTATCTTGCTTAGGGTTTTCAGCATGAAGTGGTGTTGGATTTTGTCAAATGCCTTCTCTGCATCTATTGAGATGATAATATGGTTTTTATTTTTCATTTTATTGATGTGATATATCACATTTATTGATTTGCAATGTTGAACCATCCCTGCATGCCTGGGATGAATCCCACCTGGTCTGGGTGAATGATCTGCCTGATGTGTTGTTGGATCCTGTTGGCTAGTATTTTATTGAGGTTCTTTGCATCTATGTTCATCAAGGATATTGGCCTGTAGTTTTCTTTTTCTGTTGTTTCTCTATCTGGCTTTGGTATTAAGGTGATATTGGCTTCATAGAAAGAGTTTGGAGGAATCGCCTTTCTTTCCATTGTTTGGAAAAGCTTGTGCAGGACTGGGGTAAGTTCCTCTTGAAACGTTTGGTAGAATTCACAGTGAAGCCATCTGGTCTTGGACTTTCCTTGGTTGGGAGGGCTTTAACTACTGATTCAATCTCAGTCCTTGTTATAGGTCTATTTAGATTGTTAATTGCTTCTTGATGCAATTTTGGTGGATTGTTTGTGCCCAAAAATCTATCCATCTCTTCTAGGTCTTCTGATTTGTTTGAATACAGTTGCTTGTAATCGTTCCTAATAATTGTCTGTGTATCTGAGGTTGTTATGTTTCCTTTCTCGTCTCTGATGCTATTGATGTGAATCTTCTCCTCCTTTTATTGATTAGTTAAATGATTAGGGCTGGTGGGGAATCTACTTTATTGATGCTCTCAAAGAACCAGCTCTTTCACTCATTGATCTTGTGTACAGTTCTCTTGGTCTCTATTTGGTTTATTTCCTCCCTTACTTTGATTATCTCTTTTTTCTTACTAATCTTGGGATTACTTTGTTGTTTTTCTAATTCCTTCAACTGTAAGGTTAGCTCATTAACTTGGTGCTTTTCTTGTTTCTTAACATAATCATTGAATGAGATGAATTTTCCTCTTAACACTGCCTTGATTGTGTCCTGTAAGTTTTGATATGTTGAGTTCATGCCTTCATTTGCTTCAAGCAATTTTTAAATTTCCCTCTTGATTTCCTCTCTAACCCATTGCTCATTTAATAACATTACCCATTCTCCATGTGTTTGCAAGTCTTTTTGGATGTTTCGACTCTTTGGACTCTAATTTCACTCCATGATGGTCTAAGAAGATGCATGATATGATTTTGATTTTTAAAAATTTGCTGAGGCTTTTTTTGTGTCTTATAACATGGTCAATTCTGAAGAAAATTCCATGCATTGATGAAAAAAGAGGTGCATTCTCTACCAATAGAACGAAAGGGTCGGTAGATATCAGCTAAGTCATTTGCTCTAGAGTTTGGCTGAGTTCTGTTGTTTCTTTGCCGAGTTTGTCTTTTCGATCTGTCCATTGATGTTAATGGGGTATTAAGGTCACCCATTATGATCGTACTGGAGTCTGTTTCTCCCTTTAAATCCATTAATGTTTGTTTCACGTAGCTAGGTGCGTTGGCATTTGGCACATATACATCTATAATGCTGATCTCTTCTTGCTCAATGGATCCTTTGATCATTATGTGGTGTCCTTCTTCATCTCTTCTGATGTTCTTCACATCAAAGTCTATATCATCTGATATAAGGGTTACACCCACATGTTTTTCCTTACCATTGGCTTGGAATATCTTTTTCCATTCTTTCACTTTGTTTCCTCTGATCTTTGTAGGTGAGGTGTCTTCCTGCCAGCAGCAGACAGTGGACTTTGTTTTTTAATCCAGTCCTCTAATCTATGATGTTTGATTGATGAGTTTAAGCCATTTACGTTCAATGTTAATATGGATAGGTGGCAGTTTGGTCCTGTCATTTTGGCGATGGGTTGTTCTCCAATTCAGTCTTCTGTTAGCCTTTTACTGGGATGTTCTCCACATTTGCCTTTGGTTTTGACAGACGTTATTCCTTTGCTCTTTCACAATAACACATTTGATTATTATTTGTAGGGCAGATTTAGAGGAGGTGAATTCTTCAAGCTTTTCTATATTGTGGAAGAACTGTATTTCATTTTCGCTTTGCAGGCTATGTTATTTGGGGCTGAAAATCTTTCAGAGTGTGGAATATGTCACTCCTTTCTCTCCTGGCCTGCAGTGTCTCCTCTGAGAGGTCAGCTGTAGTTTCACTGGGGTCCCTCTACGGGTCACTTGATTTTTGTCACGTGCACATTTAAGGATTTGTTCCTTATGTTCAAATGAAGAGAGCTTGATTATCATGTGTTGTGGAGAGGTTCATTTTCGATGAACTGTTAGGAATTCTGTGACCCTACTGTATATTTTTTCCAATTCTTTCTCCAGATTAGGGAAGCTTCCATTTATTATTTCATTGAATAAACCTTTAATCTCAGTTTCTTTTCTGAACCTTCTAGAATTCTCATAATTCTTAGGTTGGGCCTTTTAATCATATCTTTTAATTCTTAAGTATGGTTTTAGTTTGGCCCATCTCTGCTTCCAGCTTTTTGTTTTGTTTCCCTCTGGTGACAGGAAATATCTTTCAATTCTGATATTCTTTCTTCTGCTTCATTCAATCTATTTTTGAGACTCCCCACTGTACTTTTAGTTTGCTCCACTGTATTCTTAACTTCTGAAATGTCAGCTTTCATTTGAGTCATTTCCTGGGTGACATACTCCTTAAATTCTTTACCTGCTATATTACGTGCTTCTCGTTGTCAGTCAGAAGCTTCATAAGGAGTTTTCAGTGTCCTCCTCAGCTCTGAGGGTAGTGGAGGTTTACTCAGCGGAGTAAGTGAGGCTTTGTTCCTTCACCAGGGAGTCTTCACTAACATTCATTGTGCCTGTCTCTTCTTTTTTAAAGATTTATTTATTTTTATTGGAAAAGCAGATATATAAAGAGGAGGAGAGACAGAGAGGAAGATCTTCCATCCGATGAGGTGGCTGCAATGGCTGGAGCTGAGCCAATCTGAAGCCAGGAACAAGGAACTTCTTCTGGATCTCCCACATGGGTGCAGGATCCAGAAGCTTTGGGTTGTCCTCAATTGCTATCCTAGGCCATAAGCAGAGAGTTGGATGGGAAGTGGGGCTGCAGGGATTAGAACTGGTGCCAGAATGGGATCCTAGGATGCTCAAGGCGAGGACTTTAACTACTACGCTATCATGCCAGGCCCCTGTCTCTTCAATTTTGACATTGTAATCCTGTTTGGTGGATTCTTCTCTTTAGTGTAGATTTCTGAGATGTATTCTCCACAGGTCTGCAAGTCAATTTTTCTGTTCAATCAGTGTCCTGGATTAGGAAGATGCCAACTGCCCCAGACAACTAGCTTGTCAGTGGTGCTGAGCTTGTCTAGACACACAAGATGGTGCCCAGTGGGGCACTGCCCTAGAGCCGGGGCTCTTGGCCTTCAGATCTGGGGACCACACAGATCATGCAGGACAGGAAACTGGTGCTGCCCTCCCTGTGGGATCAGCCTGGCATGACTACCTGGAAACATGCCCACTCTGGCACTGGATCTCTATGCTGTGAGCTCCAACCTGCCACCGTTCTGCCCTGCAGAGTCCGCCGCTACCTTTGCTGGGCCAAAGTCTACAGCAGGATTGGCCAGTCCCAGACTGATTTACTTCCTGAGGTCCCAATGCAAACCCAAGCTCCCACCTGGCTGCCGCAAGAGCCCATATGTGGCCGCAGCTGGGTTCCTGGTTGCTGCTGGAGTCCAGATCACTGCTCACCAGTGGCTGGTGGATTTTCTGTTCCCTGTGTCTGGCGGGAGTTTCCAGGTAACCCATTTTGTAATCTGCTCTCCGTGCTTCACCTGTCTAATGATTCCCCATCATCCTGGCATGTCTGCACCCTCTGCCACCTTCCTGACTGCAGGGATTTCACCCATTTCTAATCACTCTGAAATAGCTACGCTACTTGGCAACACAGGAAAAAAATGCTAATACATTTCAAAACAAAACACAAATTCGGGCATGTTGTATCTTCCCTCCTCCTCCTAATGCAATGGACAAGAGTGCAGAGCCTTAAGCACTAGCCTCAGACCAGCACGGCAGGAATGTCTCAGCTTAGTCCAACACCTCTACCGTGTAGATGGAAGAAAGCAAGAGAATGAGGAAGGTGCCTCCCAGCCATGCTTCTCACATGTGCCCCTCATGGACATGCCATGGTTTCCTCATGTGCCATGTGAGGACTGTACACTCCAGCAACGCGGTTCTTCCCTCACATGCCCAACACATGCACTGACCAACCAATGCCTTCACTGGATAGGGTCTGACATGCGCACGATCTGTACCTGGTTTCTTCAGGCACCAGGATGAAAGACGACCAAAGATATCAAAGAAATCAAGCAGGTGCTGCTTCCCCGACTGTGGAATCATCGGCAGCATGGTGATCAACACCAGGACACCTGTTGTGAGCACGACGACGTCAGTATCCACCTGCAGGACAGAGGGCGAACAAGGCGTTAGGCACGGCGCTGTGCAGGCCAGGAGGGCAGCCACACACCACAGAGCCCCCAGGGCCCCCGTGTCGGCCCACCAGAAGGGAGCACACGCGGCAGGGATCCACGGAGCCCTGCTCTCCCCACCAAAGGCAATCTGGGCTACCAGCAATCCACAGAGAGCTCGGGGAGAGGGGCTCGGCCCTGCCCCAGGACAAGAATGGAAATCGCTTCATGAGAGAATACAGAAACACGGGGCTGCTTTCAGTCAGACCTGAGATAGTCACCTGTCGTCCAGGCGACTTCAAAAACACACTGATAAGTAACTACAACAAAAGTTTAATTGATGAAAAAATTATACAAGCTAACAAGTTAACTGAAGGGCTTACTTTTATAGCAGTGCCTAGAGATCACTAAATAAGATATGGAAACCTCTGACCATGTTTTTAGTTTAAATATCAAGTCAGATAACTTAGGGTAAAGTGAAGACATTTAATACCCAAAGAATGATGAGTTAACTCAGACGAGCTCCAGCAGCTCATTTCACCCACGATTAAATCCTGGTCATTACCAAAGAACTGAAACTCAGATTTAGCAACAAGATCCCACGAAGAGGCTGTCATGCAGGCTGAGGCCCATGCCACCAACTGCAAAGGGACCTGAGGCTGCCAACAACGCTGCAAAGCAGCTCATGTCCCTAGCCAGCTGGAAGCCTTCTGTTACTCCAGGCACCCAAGGAGGACGGAATGCCTGGGCAGGACCGAGGAGACACAGCAAATCCCAGCAACAGGACTAACCTTCACTTCACTTACCAAAACACCCAAACTCAATACTGGGGTAACAGATGAAGATTAACAGTCACAGACTAGGCCTTTGGAAAAAGAATTTGGCAACAGAAATAAAACTGGAGTATACTCTCATCAATCCCAATTGCTTAAATAAGTAAAGCTATTAAAACTGTCCTTGTCAGACCCAGTGCAGTAGCCTAGTAGTTAAAGTCCTCGCCTTGAACACCCCAGGATCCCATATGGGCGCTGGTTCTAATTGTGGCAGCCCCACTTCCCATTCAGCTCCCTGCTTATGGCCTGGGAAAGCAATCAAGGATGGCCCAAACCCCTTGAGACCCTGCACCCATGTGGGAGACCTGGGGAAGTTCCTGGCTCCTGGCTTTAGATCAGCTCTGGCCATTGCGGTTGCATGGGGAGTGAACCAATGTATGGAAGATCTTCCTTTCTGTCTCTCCTCCTCTCTATATATCTGACTTGGCAATAAAAAAAATTAAAAGAAAAAAAACTGTCCTTGTCTTAACACTAACTTGAGTTTTTATGACATTCCACTGATGTGAGTTCTTGGGCCCACCATGAGGAATAAGGCAGCCCACCCTATTGGGCAGACAAGACAACCAGATGACTCCAAAGGGAATGACAATGGCACCGGCAATGAATATTAACCGCATTTTCTTATTTTATAAACAAGTCCAGGTATTAAGACAGATTAAGCAAATAGCCCTTAGCATTCCAGCAAGCTGCCATCAAAACTAAAACCATCCAGTTCTATTGAGGGTTTGATTCTCTGGGTAGAAAAATAAACCAAGTCTGGTGTAGGAAATAGTATGTAACTTACTTACACCAACAAAATATAAAAAGCACAGCTGTAACCAGACCATCTTCCTTAATGTTTAAACAAACCTTTAAGTCACATTAGGTGAACAACACTTTCTTTTTTGTTGTTGTTGTTTTGTTTTGGTTTTTATTATTTTTTTTTATTGATTACATTGCATTATGTGACACAGTTTTATAGGCACTGGGATTCCCTCCATCCCTCCCCAACCCCCTGCCCCATGGTGGATTCCTCTACCTTGTTGCATTACCACAGTTCAAATTCAGTTGAGATTCCTTCATTGCAAGCATATACCAACCATAGAGTCCAGAATCTTATTGTCCAGATAAGTTCAACGGTTTCTTGGGGAGACCATCTCTGGTCTGAAGGTAGAGCCAACAGAGTATCAGCCCAATCGATTAAAAGCCCGACATTACATCATAACAATTTATAACGTAATGGAATTAGTTGACAGTTGACATGGTCTTGAGTAACCAATATGTTAAAAGAGAAAAAAAATGCAAGTTCTGAACCACATCCTATGACTTTTACGTTGACATTTCAATTATTAGTTTATATACAACCGGGTTCTATACACCTTCAAATGGCTATAGATTACTATTCAGCTGTCTTGTGTCTATTTTTTTTGGTATTTAGCAGTTTATAGTGTTGAAGCATGATTTTGCTGAACCTGGCTGTTTTTCGGGTAGCCTAACTCTATAACTCTAACAAGACATATGTCAACAGTTTAGGTGAACAGTTTTAGGAGGGGTGTGCAGAGAAATCTTCAATACCCCAGTGAGGAGTAACTAATCTTTGTGTCCTACCCAGTGAGTTATAAGTGCATCCCCACTGACCGTTTCCTGTCTGATTCTAAGCTTTCCTTGCTGTTCTCTATATATTCTAGTTTTTTTTGTTTTTAGTTTGTTTGTTTGTTTGTTTTGAAGGGTTTCTGGAGCAATCCTGATGGTCATTACGAGAGAGGGTGGGGACCCAAAGTCGGAACCAGGCAAGGACCAGAGAAAGCTCCTCTCCCTAGTCCCAAAGGAAGTTTACTGTTCTGTTTCTGCGGACCACTCAGTGTTCCTGGTTGTCATTCTGATGACCTTGGATCCTGCAAGGTTGGGCTTCTTCCATCCCATGTGGTAGATCCAAATGGGGGTGGGTGACCTCAGAGTTCCTGGCCTCCGAAGGCACTCCAATTCCCCGTGGTCTCCTTGGTAGTCGGGATGTAGTCCTCGGTGCTCGTACTGACAGTCCTTGGTGAGGATCTGGGAGTCTTCAGGGTTGGAATACAAGCCTCCTCCTGTCCGCCTGCTCCACTCTGGGGTGCCCCCCTGCTCTGTGCAACCTCCTGTTAAGAGGTTGAACAACACTTTCTAAACAGCGACCTTTGTGAGCAGTGCAACGGCTCAGCCGGCTAATCCTCCCCTTCAAGCACTGGCATCTCACATGGACACCAGCTCATGTCCCGGCTTCTCCATTTCTCACCCAGCTCCCTGCTTGTGGCCTGGGAAAGTAGTGGAGCAAGGCTCATAACCTTGGGACCCTGCACCCACGTGGGAGACCCAGTGGAGGCTCCTGGCTCCCGGCTCCTGCTTGGCGCAGCTCTGGCCGACGCAGCCATTTGGGGTGTGAAGCATTAGAGGGAGCATCTTTGACCTCCCTTCTCTCTGTAATTCTGTTTCCAGTGAAAATAATTTTAAAAAGGAAAGAAAGAAAAATAAAAAAGAAACATGGATTTTCCAAAGAGGACAGAACACAGCTACTTCCAACCAGGAGGAGGTTAGACACTGGAGAGATGCAGAGAGGCAGAGCAGCACAAGGCTGGACCCACTGACCTGCGTGGCTGAGAGGGCACTGTGTCTGCCTAACCCGGATGAAGCATGAGAACTGACACTGAGCCCTACAAGCCGCAGCCTGACTGGCTTGCTAAACATGATCAGAGTTCAGACATCCACAAGGTCACGCTGTTCAAACCCGCCAAGTTGCCTACCTTGAGACACTTCAGTAGAGAAGGCAAGAGCGGCGCTTGGGAGAGCTTGTGCTTCCAGGACGGCTGCAGGCGGACCACGTGCCCCAGCAACGAGAGGGTGGACAAGCGGGTGGCGGTTTTGCCCATGTATTCATTCATCTTATCCAAGAGGTGCTGAAAACATCAAGCAAGCGAAATCCTCATATGAATGTGGGTGTCACGAACAAAGTGGACTCAAGACAAAACAGTGACGAGGTGCTCCAACCTCTCAGGTCTCCCGTGGAAGTGAGGGAAGTCTCACTGGTAAAGAGATCAAATTCATGAGATTCTAAACCATGCTAGCAACTACACACTGCCACGCTGGCCTGGGGGACGGTCACCTGCACAGTGCCACGCTGGCCTGGGGGGATGGTCACCTGCACAGTGCCACGGTGGCCTGGGTGACGGTCACCTGTCCACTGCCACGGTGGCCTACAGGGACGGTCATCTGCAATGCAACAGAAGCACTTTGGGGGCACTCGGGGTACCACATCCCATCCGGTGCCTGGCAAAGTGCGGCTACCTTGGGCTTCCTGACCAGCTTCAGACCAGGGCGCCTGGGCGGTAGCACGGAGCACAGGACGGCCCAAGCCCTCGGGTCACTGGGACCCCCACGAGAGCCCTGACGGGTTTCTAGCTCCCGGCCCTGGCAACTGCAGGCATCTGAGGAGTGAGCCCGTGCATGGAAGGTATCTCTGTCTCTCCCTTTCTCTCTGCCAAAGAAGTAAGTCCTTTTTAACCTAAATAAATGAACAAGCAGAAGTGGTCCTCATGGCACATGTGCCTAAGAAGGGAAGACATTCCACAGCCCCGGTCTCGGAAGCTCAGCAGGCCAGCCCTTCCCACAGTCCCTGGGCCTGAGCCACTTACCGATGTGGCAGCATGGCCTACACAGTCTGACACGTAATAAAACTCAGGAAGTAACCAAAGACAAGACATGCACACCGGCGAGTGTGAAGTCTGAAGTGACAACGCTCTGAGTGCTGTTTGCACAAACACAAAAAACAAAAGGAAAAATGTGTACGAGCCCTCCAAGTGCCAGTGTGGGGAAACGGGCTCCTTCATGAGCCCCCTGCTTACAGCCTTACTGCCTGGTCAGGAAAAGTTTCAAGATTCCCTTCAAAGCATGGGTTTACAGATGAGTGCCCTGGGGGGTCACATCATTACAGCACAATGACAGCCTGGGATTGTAAGAAGTCTTTATACAGGTGATCCTTAACGGCCTCTGAAATGGGTTTTATTTTGCACGCTTCTCAGGACACATAGGGTGGACCCCTTCATTTAAGGGGCAGCTGTCAATCACAACACATTCACTGAGCCAAGGGCCTGAGCCTGGGCTGCTTGGCACACACCTGCCCGGAGTCTCCTGCAGCCCACCCCATGTGCCCCCGACGGCAGTTACCTTGTCATGCGGTTCCTGTAAGGTGCTCAGGATGTGCAAAGCCGGCTGTGAGTTGGTTTCCAGGTAATAATCCACCAAGGTGTTCACAAGCACAGGACCCCGATCTAGACGGTGAAAGGGACATCTGTGACCCCGTTGTCCACATGGCCTCCATGTTGCCTCATGAGCCACCCACAGTGCCGGCGGCCGGTACCTCTGCCTACACACAGTGCCTGCGGCCGGTCCCCTCTGCCTGCCCACAGTGCCGGCGGCCGGTCCCCTCTGCCTGCCCACAGTGCCAGCGCCCAGCACCTCTGCCTGCCCACAGTGCCTGCGGCCGGTCCCCTCTGCCTGCCCACAGTGCCTGCGGCCGGCACCTCTGCCTGCCCACAGTGCCGGAGCCCGGCACCTCTGCCTGCCCACAGTTCCGGAGCCCGGCACCTCTGCCTGCCCGCAGTGCCTGCTGCCGGCACCTCTGCCTGCCCGCAGTGCCTGCGGCCGGCACCTCTGCCTGCCCACAGTGCCTGCGCCCGGCACCTCTGCCTGCCCGCAGTGCCTGCTGCCGGCACCTCTGCCTGCCCACAGTGCCTGCGGCCGGCACCTCTGCCTGCCCGCAGTGCTGGCACCCGGCACCTCTGCCTGCCCACAGTGCCTGCTGCCAGCACCTCTGCCTCCTAATCTTCACTTACCAACAACAGGACAGTTCCAACCTCATTCACCAACATGCTCTGACTCAGTACTAGTCTTTAAAGAGGTGGTCCTTGTCTGTTATCAAGAATTTAGACGAGATTTTAAAAAAGCCCTCCTCACCACCTGCCCCCAAGCCACTCCTCAGATACACACCCTGAAGCCTGCCGCGTGTCCTCGCTCACGCAGTCTCTCAGCCTCTGTCTCTCTCACACACACAGGGAAGGTGTGACTCAGCCTCTCCATCCAGCAGTGTGTCGGACACCTCCCTTTGGCAATACCAGTGACCGACTGCCTTCCGACTGATGCCCTGCAGCATGGTCCAGCTCCTTCAATTCCACCAGTCATCTCCTGAGGGAGACGTGGGGTTTCCAATTTGCCACCACATTTACTTAAAGCTATCATGAGACTATGATCTTTATTAAGTGGGCCAAATGGTATGAGTTTTTAATTTGACAGATACTCTGTAAATGCTGACCACCAATTATATTCTTACTAACAGGAGCTATTTGTATCACCAATATTTGATTTCTGCAAACCTGGGAATCAAAGGCAACATTATTTCAACTTTCTAAAGCAGTGTGAATTTTTGAAAGATTTACTGGTTTGTTTATTTGAAAGTCAGAGTTTGAGAGAGAGGGAGACAGAGAAAGATCGACCATCCACTAGAGGTGAGCCGGTCCAAACCAGGAGTATCCTGTGGGTCTCTCACATGGGTGCAGGGAACCAAGCACTTATGCCATCGTCCTGCTGCTTTCCCAGCTGTAAGCAGGCAGCTGGATGGGAAGTGGAGTAGCCGGGAATCAAACCAGTGCCCACATGGGATGCTGGCGCTGCAGGTGACAGGCAGCTTCACACATTTCACCACAGTGCCAGCCCTCCATTTCTCTCAGTAAAGAGAGGCTGAGTACCTTCCTCATTAAATACACTAAAGAAAGGTTCCATTTGGTCTAGCAGTTAAGATTCCTGCATGCCATATTAGAGTGCCTGGGCTACACAGCCCACTCCAGTCCCAAACTCTACCTTTGCGCTAATGCAGATCCCAGAGGCAGCGATGACAGCTCAGACAGCTGGCTTCCTGCCCCAGGCAGGTGATGGGGCTGTGTTCCCAGCTCATGCTCCCCGCTTCAGCCAGAGCCCACAGTGCACTAGCGGAAAGGGAGGCCTCTGTCTTTCTCTACCTCTCGAATTTTTAAACAGATACAGCTGAAAGGATCTGTCTGGAGTGCGCTTTGGAATGCTTGAGCCAAGGTGGGGATCAAGAAGGGAAAATGAATGAGAACAGCAGACACTCGGGAGCAGGTGCGCTGCATAACCGTGACCTCTGGTGTGTTACCGGTCCCCTAACAGATGACACACACAGCGGCTCCACCGGCATGTTCTCTTGGCAGTCCAGCAGATTGTCTCTGGAAGATGCAAACTGAAATGCACAGCGGGGTTCACGTCAGCCCTAAGCCCAGGGCTGCCTTTCAGCACGTGAACTAGAAGGGTGGTGGCTTGAGGCTAGGGCTGTGGTGCAATGCAGAAAACTGCAGCCTGCAAAGTTGGCACCTCACACGGGGCTGCTCCACTTCCAATCCAGCTCTCTGCTAATGTGCCTGGAAACTGCAGCACAAGATGCCCCAGCTCTTGGGCACCTGAATGTACGTGGGGGACCCAGACCAAGTCAGCCTAGCCCAGCCAATGCCTTTGCAGCTCTCTGGGGAGTGAACCAGCAGATCAAAGAGCTCTGATTCTCCCTCTCCCTTTTTCAAACAAACCTTTTTTAAAAAGAAAGAAAACAAAAAGCAAAGAAAAGGCAAAGGGGAAGGAACAGGAAAATGGGGAGAGGAGACGAGAAGAGAAGAGAAGAGAAGAGAGGGTAAGGGAGGAAAGAGCGGAGGAGAGATTACGGGGCAGGAGGGGGTGGAGTGGAAGGAAGGGAAGGGGAGAAGAAGACGGGGGGAGAGGAGAGGGAAGAGAAGATGAGGGGAGGGGAGAGAAGAGGAGAGGAAGGGAGGGGAGGGGAGGGGAGGGGAAAGGAGGGGAGGATAGAGAAGAGGAGGGGAGAGGAGGAGAGGGGAAAGGAAAGGAGAGGAGGGGAAGGGAAGGGAGAGAAGATGAGGGGAGGATAGAGCAGAGGAGAGGAGGGGAAGGGAGGGGAGGGGAAAGGAGAGAAGATGAGGGGAGGATAGAGAAGAGAAAAAGAGGAGGGGAGGAGAGAAGAGGAGGGGAGGGGAGAGGAGGGGAGCATAGAGCAGAGGAGGGGAGGAGAAAAGAAAGGACAAGAGAGAAGAGGAGGGGGGAGAGGAAAGCAGAGAAGAAGGAAAGGGAGGGGAGGGGAAAGCAGAGGAGAGAAGGGGGAGGGAGAGGAGGGGAAGGGAGGGGAGGAGAGGAGGGAGGGGAGAGGAGAGGAGAGGAAGAAAGTTACAGCTTTGCTTACCAGAATTGAGATTCTCTTTTAAGACAGCGGTGGCGTCTCGCACAGCCAACAAGGGGGAGTCTAGCCTGGAGAGGAGCTCCCCCACATTTGCTGGCTGAGCCATGCTCTTGCTCGCACACCCGTCGGCGGCTCCAGGACTTCACTCAAGGCTCTGCACGCTCTTCATTGGGGTCACGAGCAGTCTGTGAAGAGGAAGACGATCAGAGTGACCATACGGCCCCGTTTTCCCGCAGTGCACATGTTCGACGCAGCAAGGAGTACGGCCAGAACGGGTGTGTGGGTGACTATGGCAAATTCATGAAGACGACTTCTACAGAATGTGACAGAGAGACCTAAAAAACTGGTATCCCCAAAACCAATCACCAGACAGCACCATATCTGTCAGCCTCCTTTCTGCTTCCATCCGGATTTTGGCCAACACCATGCCTTTGTTTCAAACCACTGATCCAGAAAGGGGATAAACTGCTTTCAGGAAAAAAAAAATCTAAAAGGCACACCACTTCCTAATATCTCCCCACCATCTAAAAGGCACACCACATCTTAATATCCCACCGCCATCTGAAAGCTGGTATGCCTGAGGAGGGCCCAAGCCCCAAGGGATCACTCCCCAGATTTCAGCATCATGCCCTTGTCCTGGAAGTCACCCAACACCTCACTGCCACTGCCCCCAGGCAGCTGGCCACAGAGGCAGCCACAGGCTGGCCCTGCCACAGCCATGCTCTTCAGGGAAGTGGAGTAAGTGCCTCATGCTAATATACAAAAGCAATCACTCCCCAAGCAATTGTGAACATTATCTACAACTGATTCTTTGCCCCACGTTTCACTCCAAAAGCTGATATAATTTTTTATTATTATTACCGAAAGGCAGAGAGAGAGACAGAGCTTTTCCATCCACTGGCTCACTCCTTAGACAATAGCCAGGGCTAGGACAAGCCAACGTCCAGACCCTGGAGTTCCACGCAGGTGACAGGGAACCAAGTTCTCCAGCCAGCACCTGTTGCATGCCAGCATGTGCTTTAGCAGGAGGCTGGAAAGGCAGCAGCAGAGGCGGGACTCAATCCAGGGATGCAGAGGACAGGGGCACCCCAAGAAGACACCTGACGGCCGCAGCACCCACACACCTTTCTCTTTTCTCAGATTTTTTTTTTAATTGAAAAGTCAGATTTACAGAGGAGAAGCAGAGATGAAAATATTCCGTCTGCTGGTTCACTGTTCAAATAGCAGCAACATCCGCAGCTAAGCCAATCCGAAGCCAGGAACCAGGAACTCTTCCAGATCCCTCACATGGGTACAGGGTCGCAAGGCTTTGGGTTGTCCACTGCTGCTTCCCCAGGCCACAAGCAGGGAGCTGGATGGGAAGTGCAGCAACTGGTGCATGAAGGAGTGCCCATATGGGATCCCAGCAAATGCAAGGTGTGTGTATGTATTCTTTATACAGATGTATTAAATTTTGTTTACTCATTTATTTCAAAAGCAGTAACAGAAAGAGGGGAGAGAGAGATCTTCCATTTACCGGTTCATCCACTATTGTGGCCATTTCCTAAATGGCCATAATAGCCAAGGCCGCAGCGACCTGGAGCCAGGGACCACCTGTGTGGCAGGGGCCCGAGTCCCCGGACCAGCACCTGCTGTCTGCCAGGGCACAGCGGGGAGTTGTACTGGAAGCAAAGCAACCAGAATCAGAACAAGCACCCGCACGGGACGTGTATGTCACAAGCTGTGTTTGACAGTGACAGCTGCCATGTCTACGATCATGATTAGACATCCTGGGAGAGCATCCCTAACCCTAACCCTAACCCTCAATGCACAAGGAAAGAAACAGAGAACATGTCAGTTGCTCTGGGCCACAAGCCTAGCAGGAGGCGACGCAATGAAATGTGAACTCAGATCTGCCCTCCTCCAAAGCCCGATGCTTAAAGCCGACCTGAAGCTAATGTGGCTTAAGCACGACGGCCACTCTGAGTCCCAGGAACAGGTACGATACCCTGACACAGAAGGCAACATGCGCGCTGCCAAGTCAGCCTACCTATTCCAGGCCAAGGACCGTATGATGCCTGCAGCTATATTAAAATATATTAGGATACTGGGCCTGGCGCGATGGTCTAGTGGCTAAATCCTAAATGGGCACTGGTTCATGTTCCAGCTGTTCCACTTCCCACCCAGCTCCTTGCTTATGGCCTGGGAAAGCAGCTGAGGATGGTCTAAAGTCTTGGAACCCTGCACACTTGTGAGAGTCCTGAAAGAAGTTCCTGGCTTCTGGCTTTGGATCGGCGCAGCAACAGGCATTGCAGTCACTTGGGGAGTGAACCATAGGACAGAGGATCTTCCTCTCTATCTCTCCTCCTCTCTGTAAATCTGACTTTGTGATAAAAATAAAAAATAAATCTTAAAAAAAATAATGCAGCTCACAAAATCAAGTGTTCTGTTGCTACACTTGGTTTCTTTTTTTTATATAAATTTATATACTTTTTTTTTCTTTTAAGATTTATTTTTATTATTTTTTTATTGGAAAGGCGGATATACACAGAGGAGAGACAGAGAGGAAGATCTTCCGTCCGATGATTCACTCCCCAAGTGAGTGCAACGGCCGATGCGAAGCCAGGAGCTTCTTCCGGGTCTCCCACGCGGGTGCAGGGTCCCAAAGCTTTGGGCCGTCCTCGACTGCTTTCCCAGGCCACAGGCAGGGAGCTGGAAGGAAAGCGGGGCTGCCGGAATTAGAACCGGCGCCCATACAGGATCCCGGGCGTGCAAGGCGAGGACCTTAACCATTTGCGCCACCACACCGGGCCCTACACTTGGTTTCTTTTCAACAAAGTTGCTACCTACCTACTCTCAGTTAACTGAGAGTCAGCTTGTCTTCCGTGTGTTCTGAAGGCAGGAATGCCAGATCTGGTCCTGCAGTCCCAGGCAGTCCAGAGCTCAACCCTGAACTACGGTCCACAGGGCCAACCAGCTTGTGTGTCGGTCTCTGAGTGCACTTTAGCCATGAAAGACCAGCTGCTGCAGCCTACTCTTTCGAAGATGCTTTACACAAGATGATATTCTAAAACACATGAGAACAGTTTTGCAGAGACACTTAAAGTTCTACTGCCAGGGCAGATGCTGTGGCAGAGTGGATCAAGCTTCTGATTACTGCACTGGCACCCCACAGGGCCACTGGCTGGAGTCCTGACTGCTTCACTTCCCAGCCAGCTCCCTGCTAATGTGCCTGAAAAAGGAGTGGAGGCTGGTCCACATGCTTGTGCCCCTGCACCCACATGGGAGACCCGGAAGCTCCTGGCTCCTGGCTTCAGGCCAACCCAGCTCTGGTCATTGTAATCATTTGGGGACAAATGCAGTGGATGGAAGATCTGTGTCTCCTCCCTCTCCCATTCCCATAACTGCCTTTTGAATAAATAAACTTAAAAAAAAATTCTGCTAAACCACATTTTTAATCCCCAGGAAAAATATAAGTATTGGATTTCTTAAACAAACAAAAAACATTTATTTTATTTTTAATTGTGAAGACAGATTTATAGAACGAAGAAAAAACAAGAGAAATCTTCCATCTGCTGGTTCACTCCCAAATGATTGCAATGGCTGGAGCTGAGCCAATCTAAAGCCAGGAGCTGGGAGCTTTTTCCAGATCTGCCACACAGGTGCAGGGTCCCAAGGCTTTGGGTCGTCCTTCTGCGCTTTCCCAGGCCACAAGCAGGGAGCTGGATGGGAAGTGGAACAGTGGGGATGTGAACAGGTGCCCAGACAGCATGCCAGCAGTTTGAGGTGGAGGATTAACCAGCTGAGCCATCACACCAGCCCCTAATTCTTGGATCCCGAGCTTTTCATTCCTGTTAAGTTCAAGCACCTCTGACACCCCAAAAAGCCTTCATGAGATTTATGTCACAAGCTTTTAGAATCATTGCCCTGAGCAGAATTCTCTCTTCTTTCTAAATTTAAACAGGTCTTGAGGGTTACTAAGCCTAGGGTACTAGATAGGAAAGATAACTTGGCAAGTGCAAGGATTCCATGAGTTGTAGTAGAAAAATTGATGTGGTCTGCTGGTGCCCAAGGAGGGAGTAGACCAACCTGGCTGCAACAGAAGGGTCAGGAGACACAGCTGCTTTAAACATCTTCCACAAATGAACAAGACCAGCTGGGCAATGTCACCAGACAAACTCAAGTAGCCAGTTACAGCCAGGACAGTCTCTTCTCCACTATGGACGCAACGTGCTACAGAATACAGCAAACAGAAGCCAGAAGACAATCACTGTGCTGAGCGACTTCTGTACCCAACACGCTCACGCAACACTGCACTGAGTTTAGCGTTCTCATTAATGGCCGCATGCACAACACGGTGCCACCGATAATGCGATTCCTACTGGGGTGAAGAGCCTTCAACATCTGCTTCCTGCCCCCAAGCCTACAGTCCAGCCCATCACCGACCTCAGCAAAGGTTCAGCGCAGCCATCTAAAGCGAGCAGGCTGCCGACGTCCCCGCCTCTTCCAACACTCCAGACCTATACGGTCTGCTTTGTATCAGCCCAGTGCAAGCCACTGTCACCTTCCTCCTGGTGACAAGGGAGAAACAGCCTGCCGTGCAATTCACTCACCAAGACACCTCTGCTTCTCACACACAGGAACTCTCGTCCTTGCCCAGGGCCCTGCACTCGCTGTTCCCTTTGTGCCAGGAAACTTCTTTCTCGGAGATCTCTGCTCAACACATCATGCTGAGAATTCAGCTAAATCAGCCAAGGGGCTGCTGGTTAGCAACTCTAAAATATACTCCCATTGTCTTTGTCTTTGCTTTCTAAGATGTACCTACTTATGGGCCCTGCATGGTAGCCTACAAATAATAGTTGGGCTCTGAGCCAATGTTTATAATTTTTCTTTTCAAAACATTTATTGTCACCGTAGATTTTTTTTAAAGATTTATTTTATTTTTACTGGAAAGTCAGATATAAGATATACAGAGAAGAGGAAAGACAGGAAGATCTTCCACCTGATGGTTCACTCCCCAAGTGAGCGCAACAGCTGGAGCTGAGCCTATCCAAAGCCAGGAGCCAGGAGCTCTTCTGGGTCTCCCACACGGGTGTAGGGTCCCAATTCATGGCTACTTACACAGAAATTAAATTATACCTTAATTCTGCCTGCTAGAACATTGTTTTTGAAGTATTCATTACAAACAAAATACTCTTTATATAAGTACATTTGATTTGGAGGCTCTGGGGTCTGCCTTGGTGGCATAACAAGTTACGTGACCACCTGCAACAGCCAGCATCCTGTGTGGGTGCCAGTCTGGGTCCCGGCTGCTCCACTTCAGCCAGCTCCCCACTTGTGAGTGGGAAGGCAGCAGAGGACGGCCAGAGCATGTGTGTCCCTTCCAAATAAAATAAAAATGAATTTTGCCTTGGGACCCTGCACCCACATGGGAGACCCGCTCCTGGTCCCAGGCTTCAGATTGGCCCAGCTCCACCCACTGCGACCTCTTGGGGAGGGAACCAAAGATGCAAGACCCCTGGCTCTGTATCTCCTTCTCTCTAGAAATCTGACTTTGCATTAAATGAATAAATAAGTCGTAAAATAAAAATAAAGTTTTAAAAACCATCAGTTTGGGCCCAAAGCGATGGCGCAGTGGTTAAGGTCCTCGCCTTGCACGCCCGGGATCCCATATGGGCGCCAGTTCTAATCCCAGTTCTAATCTCCTTTCCAATAAAAATAAATAAAATAAATCTTAAAAAAAAAAAACCCATCACTTATTTTTTGAAAAAGAAACAGCCAATATTTGGAGGTAAATTTGTAAGGACAAATTTAAACTGTCAGCTCTGTAACCTCAGTTTTGTTAAATCAAAATAATTTTAATACAAGCATTTGTATTGGTCAACAATATCCAAGATATAATCATCTTGAGGTTATTGAGGTTCAAGAAAGTAAAAAGAATATTAACAACAACAAAAATGAAATGACCAAAAAAAAAACCACTTTGTGCTCACTAATCACATTTCAAACTAGACTTTGCAAAAACTCCAAGGCAATTTCTTACAGTCTCTAATCTCAAGAGGGCAGATTAGCAGCTTGCAGTATTAACAAAGGTGACAACGGTGGGACCTGGCCAGCTACGGCTCTGGTCCCCTCTAGTAAACCACCTACCAGACACGTCCCTGAGTCCTGCCTTGTCCACTAAGGCTGCATGTGCTAGCTGCCAAGGACAGCACACACAGGTCCCAGGGCAGGAGTGACCTGCAGCTTACTGCACTCACAAAGTGCCTTTGCTACGCTAAAGCTTCAGTTTTAGAATATGACCACTTAGGATGGGTGTTGTACTACAGTAGCCTAAGCCTCAGCCTGCAGTGCCAGCATCTCACATGGGCACCAGTTTGAATCCCAGCTGTTCCATTTCTGACCTAGCTCCCTGCTGCTGGCCTGGGAGAGCAGTGGAAGATGCCCACGTGTCTAGGCCTCTGCACCCACACGGGAGACCCAGAAGCTCCTAATTCACAGCTTTGGACCAACTCAGCTCTGGCCACTGTGGCCACGTGGAGAGCGAACCAGCGAACAGAAGATCCCTTTGTCACTGTCTCTCCTCCTCTGTAACTGCTTCACATACAAATAAATAAATAAATCAGTAAGTCTTTAAAAAATAAAATCTGACTATTAAAATGTAACAGACTCATAACTGTGCAACACTGATCAGTAAGTGCTGAGGCTGTGTCACACCCCAGGGCTTCCACACGGCACGCCCACGGTGCGTCTGCAATCACACCTCACGGCACGCCCGCAGTGCGTCTGCGATCACACCTCATGGCACGCCTGCGGTGCGTCTGCGATCACACGATCACACCACACGGCACACCCGCGGTGCGTCTGCAATCACACCTCAGCACACCTCACGGCACGCCCACGGTGCGTCTGCAATCACACCTCACGGCACGCCCGCGGTGCATCTGCAATCACACCACACGGCACACCCGCGGTGCGTCTGCAATCACACTTCAGGAATGAACAGAGTCCTGAGACTCAGATCCACAAAAACGCCACTGCCTCAATATGTACAAGGTACCTGCTGTAGGACTTCTTCAACTCCCAAAAGCCACTATGGCATTAATTTATATGTCCCCCCATAACTTAGGACAGTTAGCAGACACAGCCATATTGGGCAGGGGGTGGATCCTGGCCCAGGAAGTACCCAAGAATCACCCAGGAAGTCTAAAATCCTGCAGCCCAGGCCCCCCGCGCAGAGCTCCCGGGGCGAGGTGCAGCCAGCACTTCCGGCCTGTGTCTCTAAGGCGCAGCCAGGGTCACGCACTCTGCAGAGCTCACTGACCTGCTCCAGGAAGCTGACCCCAGCATCTAAACCAAACTCTGCCGCCGGGAAGGAGGGCTGCTGCCACACCCCCAACGACAGGCACATGACTTCAGAAAACTCTGACGTCGTCAGCACGCTGGGGACACACCACAGGGAAGACAGCCAGGAGGGCATGTAAAGTGTGGCCGGCATACAGCACGGGGCCTGGCACTAAGCAAGGAGCACCTCCTGAGGCACTGGAGGACTTCTGGCCGCAGACAGCCCAGTTCCTGGCAGGATGCTAGAACCACACATGCTGAATTCCTGCATGTCAACAAGCATGTGAGTACAATGTGGAGAAGTGGGGCACCCCCCAAAACTCCCCCACCTCCGGGCGGCTGGCTCACCTGCTCGGTGGACAGCTGGCACTTTGGTTTCCAGGGCTGTCACTCTGGGGTCTTTCATGGTCCCTGGGGGCACAAAACACACGCATGGGTAAGCAATGGTCCCACGGTCAGTAAAGGCAGAGCACAGACCGCAGCTGAAGTCTCACGCGGCACAAACTCCTTCCTGTTGACCTCTGACAGGAGACTTCGGGGCGCCCACTGAGACAGACACCAACACCCACACACCCACCACCAGCAACGGGCCTCTATTTGCATTTCTCAACAGCTGGTGCCTGGAAGAACCTCAAGATTTTGCCGAACTTGAAAACAGATGGACAGAATGAGCTCTAGAATGAGTTCCAGGCTCTGTCGCTTTTTAGCTGTTACCTTGGGATACTTCACGTAAGTCTCTATGTCCAAGCTCAAGTTACTTCCTCTGGAAAGTGAGACTAAAACAGCCCTGGCCCGAGCAGACCGGCTGAGGTGTGTGTCCAGCGGCCCCGGGCAGAGCGTGGGCCACAGTCACTACCCCAGGTGCTGCTACATGCACTCAGCCAGCCTGCATCACCTCCTCACTGGCGCTCCCCTCCTTGCTGCCATTCAGCTGCTCAACCCAAACCGCTTCCCACCAGGGACACACGCCTGCCGTCCCTGGGCCTCAGCGAAGCCTTCCCCAGCCTCCTCTGCCCTCCACGCCCTGCCCCTGGACAAGGTCAGGCCCTCTGAGACCCCCTGAGCAGCCTATATTTTTTGTCATTAGTCACCATCCCCTCCCACACCCTGCAGCTGACCCCTTGCTCCTTCTCCAGCAGCCACCATGGCATCCAGCACTTACTGACCAGGAGTTAGAAAACTTCCTCATGCACAAGGCAAATTGTGCCTTCAAACAGCACAGTCTAAGGCTACTGCGTTTACAGTAAAACATACAATATTTAGTTATTTCTCTACTTTCTTCCTCTTTTTTTTTACTCTGTCCAAATTAATTTATAGTAAATATTCATGATAAATATTAATATTACAGACATCCCAGTTTGCTTTCAAAATACATACCCCTCCGCTACATGGAGGTACAATCTGATCAGACTGCAAACTGCACGAGGGCAACGGCTATTCATCTGGCCTGGCACCTGTACAGGTCAGCCAAGATCTCAGCACGGCTTTGGCAGCCACTCCCGGACGACACCTGCTCAGGTCAGCACGGCTTTGGCAGCCATTCCAGGTCGGGACAGAGTGCGGACAGAGCCTCATGCATTTCACCACAATGACCACAGAAAAGCCCGGACACACGATCCGAAACACACTCCTAGTCAAAGTCACACTGGTGGATTGAGCAAGTCTCCAGCTAGTAAAATCTCTTGCTCCAGACAACAGACCCTGTTTCCTGGCGGAGCACAGGCAGGGCGGCACACTGCTGGCACCTGCCCGGTGCCACAGGCTGACTGGCCCTGCAGAGAGGCCACCCTGACCCTAATTCCAGCTGTTACTACAGCAAGTCAGACTTCCTCTTGCCATGAGTCCAGTCAGATCTCTGACCTGAAATCAACATCTGAAGCCGAACACTAAGACTTCATACTTCTTCATCACATAGTCAAAACAAACTAAGAGGGCGAGACTAAAGCCGCAGCCCATGCTCGCTTAGACAAGGGCACCGGCCATTCCCTGCTCCATTAACCTGAAATCCCATGCTGTGCCCCATGAAGGGGTGACATCTGCCAGGACCCCCATTTTCATCCTCAAAAGCCAAGCCATAGAATATGTGGCTTCCGGACCTGGCATTTCCCGGAGAGAAGTTCCAACTCAGGCAGCAGTCTCACCTCACACAGGCATGTAGCCTGGTAGGTCAGCTCTCCAAACAGCCACAGAGGGCAGGCTGGAGGTCAAGCAGAAGGGCAGGGCAATCCGCTTCCACCGAATTCCATCTGAACAGACTTCAGCCAAGACTCTGACTAGGCTGGGCTGCGGCTCACAGGACCCTGTGGGGAGTTCTGTGCTGCTCTCAGGCCTGGACAGGATGCCTCATGAACTGAGCCAGGCCCGGGAGCTAGGCCCCTCTTTGTAAAGCATTATATCCAAAATGGGCTAAAACTAACCCCAAGACTCCTCTGCACTAGGAAATACCTGAATTCACACTAAATCACCTAAGACAATTTTGTAGTTAACTCAAATTTAAGAAAAAATTATATGTATTTTAAAATATATATACGTTTTTTAAATTTTGGGGCCAGCACAATGGCTCAATGGCTAAATCCTCATCTGCAAGTGCTAAGATCCCACAGGGCACCAGTACATGTCCTGGCTGCCCCACTCCCCATCCGGCTCCCTGCCCATGGCCTGGGAAAGCAGTAGAGGCTGGGGAAAGCCTTGGGCCCCTGCAACATGTGGGAGACCCTGAGGAAGCTCCTGGCTTCAGATCAGCTCAGCTCTGGCCACTGTGGCCGCTGGAGGGTGCACCAGCAAATGGAGAATCTTTTTTTGTCTCTCCTTCTCTCCATAAATCTGACCTGCCTTTCTGATGGGCAGAGAGCTCCCATCTGTTGGGACATTCCCCAAATGCCCACAATAGCCAAACTGGACCAGGCCAAAGCCAGGAGCCAGAAGCTCAAGCAGGTTCTTCCATGTGATGACAGGGACCTAACTGAGGCATCACTCATTGTCCCTCAGCATCCTGGAATCAGGACCCAAACACAGGTTCTCTAGGATGGAACTCAAGTATCATAACAGCATTCATAAACCGCAGTGCATCTCAACCACCTGTCACTGTTTCCTCAGGTTCACAAGTTTATCATTAAAAATCCAAAGATGGGCCCGGTGCAGTAGTCTAGTGGCTAAAGTCCTTGCCTTGCACGTGCCAGGATCCCATACGGGCACCAGTTCTAATCCCTGCAGCTCCACTTCCCATCCAGCTCCCTGCTTGTGGCCTGGGAAAGCAGTCAAGGACAGCCCAAAGCCTTGGGACCCTGCACCCACGTGGGAGACCCAGAAGAAGCTACTGGCTTTGGATTGGCTCAGCTACGGCTGTTGAGGTCACTTGGGGAGTGAATCATCGAATGGAAGTTCTTCCTCTCTGTCTCTCCTCCTCTCTGTATATCTGCCTTTCCAATAAAAATAAATAAATCTTTTGTAAAACTCCAAAGCTGCTTAAGACACAGCCCCGGCAGGGGTGTACAGGCACAGGCCGGGGGAAGGCCTGTTACTGTGTGTGTCAGTGCTCAGTTCTGACTTGGTGACTCCCCAGCGATTTCTCATGAAGCACAGGATCATCGTCAGCACCAATGCATCTAAAACGAGTTAAAAACTGCATCGGAAAAGAGACTTGCTCAACTTCTCTATCAGTTCATAGAAGAGAGAACAATGCTACTGCCCAAAGAATGTGTGAGCTGAGAGCCAGGCACACCCAAACACGCATGCCCATGAGACCCCCAGGCTCGGGGCCCCAGGATGAGCAGGAGCGCCTGAACTGCCAAGGGTCCTCACTGCAAGGCTCTGGGGGAGCTCTGAAGGACAGCATGCCAAAGTCGATGCCCCATCCGAGCACACAGTGCTCTGCGACTTGCCCTGAGGCTGGAGCCGCTTCCAGCCAGGAACATCTTCGCTTCAAGTGATGCTCAGGAGATGTTCTATAAGCATGAACTGTTCGTCCAGGAAATGCAGACCAAGAAAGATGCCACGTGGGCTGCAAAAGCTCCAGGAACCATTTCCCCTCAACGAATAGCAGCAGGTTGCTTGAGTTCACACGGGAAGGACTGAAGGACAAACATTTGAGGGGAGAAAGGCAGGCGGCCTGCTGGCCGAGGCGCCCAGGCCACGGGCACACCTGAGGACCTGTGAGAAAGCTGGATCCTCTAGCTTCACTGCGTGCCTGAATCCAGAAAGTAGGTTTGTGGGGTCCTCTGAGCCGACCCTGGTGCCCCCCAAAGGTTAAGAACTAGGCTAAGGAAGGAAAAAACCAGAAACAGGCACCTTCTCACTTTCACATCTACTGATGTTCAAAAGGCAAAAACGAATCCTGCAGCAAGCCTGGAAAAAAGGGACTCTGCTGGGTGCTAGGCGCCAGCACAGAGCGCATGCCCGGTGCTTGGCGCGGGCACAGAGCGCATGCCAGGCCCGAGCCCTCAGTAGGTTACAGCCCCAGCTGCTTGTGTGTGTGTAAAACATGGCACCTCATTCACAAAATGATTTATTACACAAACACCTAAGTCTACCTTTAAAAGACTTGGCCCTCTCTTACCTATTGGTTTAAAAGAAAGGAGAATTATGAAAAATATTTCTTTCTTTACTCACTTACATGTTTGTTTATTTGAAAAGTGGGTAGGACACGCAGCAGGAACAAAAAGGGTTCCGGCAGATTCTCAGAGGAAAGCTAGGGGTCGCCCGCTCCCTCTGAGACCCCCTGACCTACAAGTTACTCCATGAGCTCAGCACGACAGCCGGTTCACCAAGATGGAAGACTCAACAATTGGAGGCAACCAAAGAGGGCTCACACGTGGTCAGCCCTCACCCCACCTACTTCAAGTCCCTAAGTCGTCCTGCACCTTCAAAGCTAGAAGAGTTAAAGATCAGACAGGCAGATACTCAGCACAAGTACCCAATAAATGTAAACTTCGTTGTAACAATTTTAACAAAATGTACCACTGGGTACATAATGTGTAGCAATCTCTCCATGAACAGCTGGTATTTGCAACACTGATAAAAATCACCCTCCAATTCAAAACAGATACCCTTCAAGTGCCTTACTGTGTTCCATGAATGACTCCAAGTGGCACCGGGCTTCCTGAAGGCTCCCGCCTCAGCCTCCGCTGTCCTATCCCATGAGCAAGAGAACGCCGACACTCTGGTGCCTGCTGTCACTGTATTCACTTCAGAAAGGACCTGGGAGAAGCGGCCACGGTCCTGGCTGCTTGCTCCCTGGGATGTGGGTTCAAGGCTGAGCGCACGCTTCTGACTCAGCTCCCTGCCTGTGGCCTTGCAAAGCTGGGCGACACTGCACCTATGTGGGCGCTGCACCCACGTGGGAGACCAGATGGAGTTCCAGGTTCCTGGCTCTCTGCTCAGACCAGCCCTGACTGTTCTGACCATGTACGGAGTGAACCACAAGACAGAAGGTCTTGCTTTGTCTTTCTAATGAAAATCTGCTTTTAAAAAAGGAAAGAAAAAGGAAAAGGAAAGGAAAGGAAAGTCAGGTCTGGGCTGAGTTTAGGCCAGCAGTGATCATGGCATGTTTGCTTTTTTTTTTTTTTTCTGTCTTTTAAGAATGTATTTCTATTGGAAAGGCAGATCTTCAAAGGGGAGAGACAGAAAGAAAGATTTTCCATCTGCTGGTTCACGCCAGCAGCTGTAGTGGCCAGAACTAGGCCGATCAGACGCCAGGAGCCTCCTCTGGGTCTCCCACACACGCACGGGGTTCCAAGGCTTTGGGAATCGGAGAGGCCGGGGAGGACTGGCCAGCTGAGCCAGAACAAGGCCAGCACTTCGCTCTCCAGATGTCAGTCCTTTGCAACTTAACACACAGGTTACTGCTCCTTACCACTTGCCAGGAAGTAACCAAGTGACAGCACAGATCAGAGAGGCAAGAACGGGACAAAGCCCTGAGATTTCACATGAATTTGGTTATTTAAAAAGACATTAAGTGACTAATTTTAGCAACTATAAACTTCACAGTAAGTCAGACAATCTTAAATTGTTGACAGGAGACTTATTTCAGACCAACTTAAATGGGAAAAAAATATTTCTTATAAACCAAATTATGTAAGATAGAAATCATTTTTGGGCCCGGCGAGGTGGCCCAGCGGCTAAAGTCCTTGCCTTGCACGTGCCGGGGTCCCATATGGGCGCCGGTTCTAATCCCGGCAGCTCCACTTCCCATCCAGCTCCCTGCTTGTGGCCTGGGAAAGCAGTCGAGGACAGCCCAAAGCCTTGGGACCCTGTACCCGTGTGGGAGACCCGGAAGAGGTTCCTGGTTCCCGGCTTCGGATCAGCACAACACTGGCCTCATGGGGAGTGAATCATCGGATGGAAGATCTTCCTCTCTGTATATCTGACTTTGTAATAAAAAAAATATAAATAAATCTTAAAAAAAAAAGAAAGGAATCATTTGATGATCGGATTAAAAAAAAAAAAACACAGCGTTTGTGGCTAAAAAGCATTTTTACTCTGACTGGACATTATACACTGTCCAAAACATCAATCAAAACATTATAAAGTACCCACAAATAGGTACAATTTTTATGTTTGAAAGGTTAAAAAAAAATAGAAAGTATAGGGATCGGTGCTGCGGCACAGCACATAAAGCTACCACCCCTAGTGCTGCCAGCCCACATGGGTGCCAGTTCTAGTCCCGGCTGCTCCACTTCCCATCCAGATCCCTGCCAATACACTTAGGAAAGCAGCAGAGGATGGCCCAAGCGCTTGGGCCCTGCACCAAGTGGAGACGTGGAGGGAGCCCTGGGTTCCTGCTTCAGCTGGCCTGGCCCAGGCCACAGGGTCATTTCGGAAGCACACTGTCCGAAGAAGAATCTCCCCTTGGCCTCTCCTCTCTGTAACTCTGCCCTGCAAATAAACACTTTCAAGCAATAGAAATTTTAAGTAAAGGGCCCAACACGACAGCCTAGTGACTAAAGTCCTCGCCTTGCATGCGCCAGAATCCCATATGGGCACCAGTTCATATCCTGCCAGCCCTGCTTTTCATCCAACTCCCTGCTTGTGGCCTGGGAAAGCAGTGAAGGATGGTGCAAAGCCTGTGGGACCCTGCACCTAGGTGGGAGACCCAGAAGAAGCTCCTGGCTCCCGGTTTTGGGTCAGCCCAGCTCTGGCTGTTGGGGACACTTAGCGAGTGAATCAGTGGATGGAATATCTTTGTCTCTCCTTCTCTGTAAATTTCCAATGAAAAATAAATATTTTTTAAAATAAATTATAAGCATAAACATTAAAAAAATAAGGAATGAAAGTCAATGTTCAATATAAATTATATCTGTGCATTTAAACCAAACTGGCGCAGTGACCTAGCAGCTAAATCATTGCCTTGCGTGCACTGGGTTCCGCAAGGGCCCCACTTCCCAGGCAGCTCCCTGTTGCAGCCTGGGAGGGCAGTGCAGGACGCCCCAAAGCCTTGGGACCCCGTGCCCACAAGGGAGACTCAGAGGAGGCTCCTGGCTCGGATCAGCTCAGCTCCAGCTGTTGTGGCCACTTGAGAGTTGGACCAGCAGATGGAAGAGCTTTCTCTGTGTCTCCTTCTCTCTGTATATCTACCTTCCCAATAAAAACAAATCTTAAAAAGAAAAAGAAAAAATAAAGCACAGATATGAATACTATTAGGCACTCTCATAGCTATTTATATGACAAAAGCCAAAAAGCCAACTAGCAGAAATAAAATTGTTCCAAAGAGATTTACAACATGTGGAACTCATGAGGGATTACCTTTTTAGAAATATGACATAAAAGATAAACAGGTTTCCAGACTAAGCTAAAAGCCACCAATGTGACTGGCCGCCATAAAACCACAAATATTCTGATGCCGTCAGTGTTGTTAGAATGCTGCGTACAGGCTGGGAAGATGGACGGAGACACCTTTGAGTTTCAGTCCCACTCTCACTCCACAGAAGCAGTAGCTGGGCCTCAGGGAAGTGGCTTGTTACAAGTCAAAAACCTTCTGACCCTTGGACAACCCAGAAACGGCTGATGTCCAGCTGTGGGGCTCATCAATATCCACAGGTAGCCACCTGATTCCAGGAGAGGGGAACTGCAGACAAACCTACCTGCCGCCTGGCTCTGCTGGCTCTGCACAAGTGGAGCTACGAGGGCAAGTCAGCTCCAGATGAGGCTCCCCAGGCCGCCCCACACGCCAGAGGCCGGAAGCAGTTTTAAGTAAAGACTGTAACAGTTACAAAGTAAATGGAATCGGCCACATTGACACTTTGAATCAGTGGCTGTCAACCACCGCGCACAACACACCATCCAAACCAAACCTTGTGGGGTGTCCTCAAGATCCACCAAAGTTTGGGGTGCTTCTGTCAAACACGCCTGATGACCCTCTGCTGGGGCACTGCACGCTCTGCGGACACGGCATATCACATACAGGTGTGCAGAGGCTCTGGCTGAGCTCACAGGTGAAGCCCTGACAGTGAGGAGAGGCCAGCTGAGCACGGGGCTCTGAGGAGGGAAGGGGAGGAGGCTGGCAGCCGCCTTCTAACCAGCAACTCAGGGACAGACCAAGCGTTTACGACACCAGGAAACACGGGAGGCAAAGCATGCTCTTATCACCGGCTGTTGCAGAGCCGTGCGCTTCGGATAAGACAGGAACTTCAGGCCTGGGATCGCTTCCACTTACACCTGGTGGACGCAAGGCCCTTAGAGGAGGACTCCATTGCTCCCCAGGGCACCGGCAGATGAGCAGAGCCGTCTGCCCAACGCGCAATTGGGCAAGGTGCATTTCCCAACCAAACGCTACATCAGCTTTCACTTTTGCATATTCCAGGTTTACTCAGAAATGCTCTGCTCAGGAAACACAGGTGACTGTCAAGAGGTGAGCATTTCTGAGGCGCCTGAGATTCACTGCCCCACTTCTGCAGCCTGCTGGACGGAGCTCCAGGTGGACCTCGCACTGTAAGTCAGAGGATCTCAGAGGAGCCTCATTCTATTTTAGTGCCTCCACAGGCTCACCTGACTTAGAGTTCTATTCCTATGCTTCCTATTTAACAAAACAAACAGAAGAAAATCAAGCAAGCGCTCTAGGACTTGGTTCTGCAGCAAACACATCATCTTCTAAAGTCTGAACTCCTTCCCAGCCCAGCACAGGCTGACAAGTTCACGGGCACAGAGCGATGCCCGCCCAGACAGCAGTAAAGGCATGCAAGCCAAGCGCACACTTCTTACAAATTGTATTCGTTCTTTTTTTCTTTCTCTCTCTCTCTCCATGTCTCCCTTTCTTTCTTCATGTCTCCCTCTCTCTGCCCCTCTCTCTCCATGTCTCTCTTTCTCCCCCTCCTCTGCCCCCGCCCCCAGCAAGCGATGAACTCTTTGCACTTCTTGATGGGACGCATCGATCACACCTGTGGGATGGGTCAGACCCTCCTGGGGGTGCATGACCTTGCCCGTTACCCAGATCCCCGCCCCCGACGCTCCGCATCCGAGGAGCCTGCAGGTGTCAGTAACGGTTACCCCCTCGCCTTTGTGGAGGACCCGACGACGCGCTGCACGGCGCTTCCAGCAGCGCCCGGGGCTCACGGACCGCGCCCCCTCCCACGTCCCCACCCCCAGCCCGCAGCAGACCACACAAAGAGCGGGCTTCATTTCCGACAGGTCCCTCCGACGGCAGGCTGCACGAATGAATGAAGGAGCGCCGGGCCGCGCCGCTGCAGCCGGCCGGCCGGCCCCCAGGCACCACCTCGGGCCACTTGCCGGCCGCGGAGCAGCCCTCCCGGGCGCAGCCGGTGCGAGGCACCCGGGAGGCACCGTGCACCTTGCAGCCGGCCGAGTCCGGGGTGCCCCCGAGCGGGCTCCATTCATTCGGCCCCCGCCGCCCCCCGCGCGACCCCTCTCGCTCACTCCCGCACCCTGCTGCTCCCTCCAGCAGCTGGCCGCCCGCCCAGGGGCTCCCCCGACGCCGGGCCCTGCGCGCCCGCGCGTGGACCTGTCACCCCACCACGTCCCGGGCGGGCGCAGGGGCCGCCCGCACCCCCGCCTGGGCACCGAGGCCCCCGGGGGGCGCCAGCAGGGGCGACGGCCCGGCCCAAACCCCCTCTGTCCCCCAGGGACCGGCCAGTGCCCCCGACGCTCGCCGGGGTCAGCGCGTAAGAAGAGGGAGGGGACGCTCTCCGGATCCCCCTTCCCCCCGATCCTCTTCCCAGCAAGTGAGCCTCTTGCGCCGGCCCCAACCCCCACGTCCAGAACCTTCGCGACTGGGATCGGGGTGCCAGGGCTGCCCCCGAAAAGCCCCGGTGGAAAGGAGAGGGCGACACCCCCATACTCACCCACCGTCTCCTCCCCCTCAGCTGTTTACCTCACAGTTCCTCCAGCCTACAGGGCGCCGCCATCTTGGACGCCCAGCACCTCCCCCCGTGGTGAAACGTCCCCGACCGGCTGCGCCCTCCGCCACGAAAAAGAGTCCCCAGCCGGGCGCCGCCTCCCAGCTCGCCCACGCCCGGCCGAGCGCGAGCCTCGGCCCCGCCGCACCGAGCGGGCCTGGCCCCTCATCCCGGACGGTGCCGGCTGCGCCGCCGGGGACAAGGGGAGCGTTTTCCAGGGAGGGGGGCGGGGACGGCGGAAGGATCCCGAAAGCAGGTCGCTCAGCGATCTTGTGACTCCGACAGAGGCAGAAAGAAGGCCCGGCGCGGAGGGAGGAGCCACGCGAGGAGCCGAGGGGCGGACCGGTCACGTGACGGGCCGGCAGGGCGCAGGCGAGAGGCGTCCACCCGCTGGCCCTGGACGGCTGTGATGGAGACCCGGACCTCAGCGGTGGGCTTGGGTCAGCCTGAGGGCGCTGAGCGCCCCTGTCCCTGGAGGCCCGTCAGAGCCGCAGCCCCCTCTCCCTTCCCGAGGTGGACACACACAGCAAAAGGGCAGGGTCGCCCCCTCGGCTAGGCGGCCCCACGGCTGCCTTGGGGTCGCCACTGTAGAGTGACCACGTCGCCCTGGGTCCAGCCCTGCTCTGCTCCCTGAGGGCCTGGTCGGGGTGCGCAATGTGGCCTGGGCAGGATTCCGTTGGGGACACACCGCGTTGAGCACAGCGTCAGCGCCTGCTGGTTACCACCTTGGAGGCCCGTGGCACTGGCGTCAGTGACTGCGGGGTCTGAGGCTTGGACCCAAGGGAGGGGAGAGGGGCTGGGAAGAGACAGACCCTGCAGGTGGAAATAACTGAAGGCTTGGGGAGCGCTTGGATCACAACGCAAGGCAGCCTGTGGTTAGGGGAACTGGGGGCGAGGGGGTGGGGGCTGTGAGTGGCCAGCCTAGCGTTAGGGCGTCATCGGGGGTGCGGCCAGGACTCCTCCAGGATGGGGCTGTTGCTGGCCAGGGTAATGCCCTTGTGGGAACTCAGAAAAACCAAACCGTGCCTGCTGTCCCACGCCCCGCCTTCCCTCGCCCTGTAAGCCGTAAACAACCCAGATAGATGCCCAGGACACTCTTGGGGTCCACTAGCCCAGCAAGGTCATGGACAGCTGCCAAGCGCAGGAGGAGGTGGGCGAAGCTGCTGACCAAATATTGAAGTGGTTTTAGACCTCAGGCTGGGTGGGCAAGCCTTACCCCTTCATCTGTTCTGGGACACTGGACGATAATGCCTTAAGAAGAATGGGGGTGGGGGGAGGCCTGGAAGTTTGTGGGAAAATGCCATTGTATAATTATTTGGGTGCAAAGAGAAACTTGCAATCCATGCATGGTCTTCACAGTAGCCATTTTCCCTGCACTTCCTGAACGCTGTGTAGCTCACATGGTCCTCACCACTGCGCATGCACAACACACGTGCTGGCGGGCTTGGGTTCATCCAGTGTCCAGGTTTTCTGCTGCCGGAGCATAGTTTGAGAAAGTTAAAGGAGAGGGCTGCAGACTCAGTCCCACCAGCCCACGGTAGCCACAGCAGGGCAGGGATTCCCAAGACCAGCCGGGGCTGGGAGAGCTAAAGTCGTGGGGGCTGGGGAGCAGGCGCTGCGCCTCAGTTCGGAGTCGGGACCTCCTTGCATGCCCGCCTGCCTGCCTGCCCTCGGCCCCACAGTTCCATCCCACTGGAGTGCAGGGAGCTGGGGACATGGGGCTCATCCCCTGTGCCTCTCGCAGGAGTCATCTCCACCACCTTGGCAAGTACCCAGCATCTTCCACGAGAATGACGGCGGGAGCTGCCGGAGTCCAGCTCCAGCTGAGTTCGGAACTCGAGAAGGGTGCGTGGATGAGGCGCCAAAGAGGAAAGAAAGATGGACCACTAGGACTTCATGATCATAATGGACAATGCGGGAAAGCTGTCCACTTTATTTATACAGAAACACCCAAACTCTGGCTCAGGCTTTTTACGTCATGGTCAAGTGGGTGTCTCTAAGGATAATTCTGCCATTTGTTTTACCTAAAAACAATAGAAGTTCTTGCTGCACTTCTTATTCTACAACTGAATCTTGTATCACAAAGAAAGGGGGAACCTAAAGAATGAGGAAAGAATGAAACCCTAAATACAGGTCCCTTGATTAGCATAAGGTCAATGGGGACAGCCAAGACAGTAGGAATAACAGAAGGCCCTTTTGCAAGACATTATTATTGACATTAACTTCCAAGCTCACATTGAGTAAAAGGCCAGCCTCACAGTAGCAAACAATGCCTGGATGGATTAGAAGGTGGAGCTTCATTCAGGTGGTTGTAGAAACATCCCCCGGGCCCTACCAAACAGAAGTTCCTTGCGGCCCTGCCTGCAATGGAACAATACTCTTCACAACTTCGCGTCCCCCACATCCACTGCACGGACCCAACAGGGAGCTCAGCTCGACCAGCAGGGGCTGCCACCAACTCCACTCCATCCAAGCCTGAGTCGCCAAGACAGCAGCTCCATCCACTGTGTGGGCCTCCCTGTTATGGTAGGAGTCCTGGCTGGCCTGAGCTGGTCAGGACTGCAGACTTGCTGCCCGTGGTGGGTGCCTGTTGCCTTTGGGTAGTGTTTCATCCTCCCCACGGAGGGGATGCCGGGGTCTTCCACACGGGTGCAGATTCCCAAGGGCTTAGGCCATTCTCTGCTTTTCCAGGCCGCTGCAGGGAGCTGGACGGGAAGTGGAGCAGCCAGAATATGAACAGGCACCCATGTGGGATCCCAGAGGATGCAAGGTAAGGACTTTAGCCACTAGGCTATTAACTGGGCCCCAAATAAGTAGATCTTTGAAAAAAAAATGATGGATGATAAAAGAATTTTCTTTGGAGAGTCACAGAAGCAGGGGTCCTCTGCCCCATTCTGTGGGAAGCTGAGTGACAGATGTGGCCCACAGAGGAGAAGATGGAAGGAGAGACCCAGGATCCCAGCGCGTGCACTGGCTGAGGCCCAGGGACCAGCTTCCCTCTGGTCTGCCAGGTCCTGCTTAGCAACCACTGTCCTAGCAGATGCTCGTGTTGGTTGGATTTGCTCCCTTAAGAGCAAAAGGCTTCCAGATGCGATGGGCTCAGGAGCTCTCTGGAAGGGCAGCAATAACCAGGAAGAGTGCCTCTCGGGGCTTGCAGTCGGTCTGGCTCCCGCTGACCCCTGTGTGAGGGCAGCCTCCTGGCCAGGCGCACTGCTCACACAGGCAACATGTCTGGTGTAGGCAGAGTCCAGGATCCTGGTGAGGCCCTCCCACGCCAGACCCCCTTTGGTCACCTCACTGCCCTCTCCCTGTGCATCCCACATCCTCCTGGGCTGGGCCATTGGGAGGCCTCACTTAGGGTCACCTTACTGTCCCCAACCCGTCTAGCCCACGTCCTCCTGGGCTGGGCCATCGGGAGGCCTCACTTAGGGTCACCTCCCCTCCCCATCCAGCCTGTGTCCTCACACAGCCCTCTGCTGCCCAGGCTAGCTGTCACTGCCCTCGGTCCTACATTGCTCTTTCGCTGTGTGAGTTCCTCACACCTGCCGCCCCTTCACTGTCCCCGGGTGCTTTCCCATTGCTGCCTTCTCTGAAACTACTTGTACCTCTGCCTCGTTCCTTTGCCCTTGGGACTGCGAGGGCTGCACCCTGCTGAGAGAAGCCGCCCACAGCCTGGGCTACCTGCTGAGAACCACCCCCAGACCCACAGGTGCTCATGCACCTCAGGGATCCAGGTCTTGGGGTGAAAAGCTCCCTCTCATTGACCCAGCCAGATTCTCCTTCCTGTGGATCCGCTCCTAGGGTTGATGGGCATTGGTTGAGCATCACTGTGACTTGGCATGGCTTCAGGGGACACAGAGTCGTTTGGCTGGGACTGTGTAGGCCCTGAGTGAGTGTGTGCGCGCACACCCCAGAGATCTGTATCCCTCCAGATTCAGTGCTGGCTCTCTGCCACCCCCTGGAGGCGGAATGAACCAGCATGTTCTGGTTTAAGGTCAAAAGTCAGGGTATAGAGGGTCAACATTGAAACACAAGGATCTCGCTGGCAGCCACGTGTTGGTGCACCCCAGGTTCGTGCTAGCGTGTGTGGAAAGGCAGTGGAAGGTGACACAATGAGCCAATGAAGGCAAGTGTCTCTCCCCCTCTGTCACTCTTAAATAAACAAATATAAAGATTTGTTTTTATTTGCTTAAAAGACTGATAGGGAGAGACAGAGAGAGAGAGATCCTCCATCTGGTTCATTCCCCAGGAGGCCACAACAGCCAAAACTGAGTCTGTTCGAAGCCAGGAGCCGGGAGCTTCTTCTGGGTCTCCCGTGTGGGTGCAGGGTCCCAGGCACTTTGGCCATTCTCCGCTGCTTTCCCAGAAGTATTAGTAGGAAGCTGACTTAGAAGTGGAACAGCCAGAACTCAAGCTGGCACCCATGTGGGCCGCGGGCACCGTAGGCAGCAGCTGAACTTGCTGTGCCAGTCACCTCCTAAAAATCAACCTTAAAAAAAGAACGGTGTCAGGAGTATTCGGACCAACAATACGCAGAACTTTCTAGATTAAGGCTAAACAGCAGGGCGTGTTGGAAGCCCAGGAGCTGCCCTCGCGGGATGGCCTGGCAACCGCCGGCTTGATTGAATGTCGGTGCCACCTGGTAGGGAGGCCAGTCCTTCCCTGAGGACCCAGTGAACTCCCACGTGGACCAACAGATGAATCCAGGCCTCTGGGTGACTTGCCACGCGGTGGAGGCAGCACCTTGGTAATTGAGTGCCTTTCACAGAGGCTAGGAGTGCAAGATGAGGGGGTTAACTGTGCGCCCTCCTGGCTGCTGGTACTGGCTGCACTTACTGAGCATGCCTTGCCCGAAGACACGTCCCTCTCACGACCGTTGTAAGCACACACATTCCCCTGGTGTTGGTCTCTGACCCTGAGTCATAAAGACAAGTCATAGTTCATTGGGGCACACACTATTCATTTTAATTGATTAATTTGATGAAGTAACACACCCTAATTCATTCCCAAAATGACTGCAACAA